GGGCACAGGTCTGCGGCGCCCTCTTGGGAAGGTGATGGTGAGCTGTGTGTAGCATCTTACTCTCATTCCCAGACTGAAAGTGAGACGAGGTGTCTCGGCACAGGAGTGGGCAGGGGCACTCGACTCCCCTCTCCCCATGTAGCACCTGTGCCAGCCCCACCTCCTCTGGCCCTGTTCTTCATGCTTCTTTCTGCCCCCATCGTGGAGAACAAGATGTATCTGACCATCAGCATGAGTCACATGTCCTTGATGGAAGGAGAGGAAAAGAGAAGAACGGAAGATGCCTCCTGCAAGGTCAAATGCCCATCTCTCCATCTTGGCAGAGTGGGGGTTGGCAATAGGCATCAGGTGACTTCCCTCTACCAGTTCTAGAGAGATGGGGCATTAGATTTGGGGGACACTTAGAATATGCTCCTTTAATACCACCAAATAAAGACCTTTGTTGGGGGGGCGGGGGTGTCTTTCTCTTATGAATATAAATCCCAGTTAAAGTTTCATTCCCCTGGGCCTCCCCATCCCTACAGAGGCATGGGATAAAGAGGGGGGGGCACAGCCAAGCGACTTAGTGGAAGCCAGCACCCTCCTCTCCCATCTTACGATGTGTGTGGATCTGGCCAGTGCCCCTCCGATCACAATTAGTATAATTGTTTGTGTATTTGTTACACCACCTGTGTGATTGCCTTTGTTTGTTAAGGGTATCTGAGGAGTACGGGGCTGACAGGGGCACTGGAATGCTGGGAAAGGATTACTTCACTGAGATCAAGGCTTCCTGAAGGGAACCATTACAAAAAAGGCCATCAGGCAGTTTTCAAGTTATGTGACAGAGGGCAAAGATGGCCACAGGGTGCTCTGAGTTTTGGGACGGTCACATGACACAATCCAGCACTTGAACTGAAAAAAGAAAAAAAATAAAAGCAGTCAAAGAGTTTAGAATTCAGTGATGAACTCTTCTCCCTACCCAAGCGTCACCTTTACCCCTCAGAGCCTGGGAACAAAGGCCATCTGAGGAGGAAACCTGGTGCTCAAGGATTAAAAAGGTGGGGCAAGGGAAAAACATGGAGTATGTGGGGTTAAGGTCGGGACATGCAGCCCAAGAGAAGATGGGCAAAGAAAGGGAGGGGACCTGGAGCAACTCTGGAGAGCTTGGTCCAAAACAAGATGAGAAAAAATCTCTTCCCCAGTCTCCAAGGATCTAAATTTCTCTTGAAATGATCCAGAGCTAGTATCTGGTCTATTTCCTACAGTTTCCTAATTCTAGATTTCTTCAACGAAGTGTCACCAAAATCCAGACCAAATCAACACATTCCCCTTGCCAGTGTACCAACTAGTAAGCATCTCAAATATCCCTTTAACCACACCATAAAAATTCTCCCATCTACCTATACTGCACACCTCCTAGGGCATGTAAGAGTTGTGGGTAACAAAGGACCCTCACCTCACATAAAAGGGGGGAGGGGAAGCCCCTGTGACAACTTGATCCAGAATAGGGTACAGAACCCCTGAGGGTTCAATATGCTAAATGTTTTTCCCTGTCAATTCTATCAGCAAACTGACCTCACCTCAGATCAAGACTGAGGTTGAGAAGACAAAAATAGCACACATGGTATCCCTGTATCCCCCCTGGAGCTGCTTTACCCACTCCTGCCCCTAGCCTTTGCCCTGAGCTAAAAATACCTCTCCCCCCTCTATTGCTCATTTGTTTCCTACCTTGAGAGGAATCCCGGAAGAGGCTCCAAGCTGACTTTCAAGCTCCTTTTCTTTATCCCCAAACACCTTCCAATCCAATGCCCGAGTAACTGCCGTATACTGTGGCTTTGCTCATATTTTGGATTCCTGGGGCCCGAGCTAAGAACCAGCAGACACTGGCATTTATAATTTCTGGTCTTTAGTAAGGTAGACACAGGAAAGTCAAAGCTCTAGGCCACAATGTTGGCTTTCCTGCCAGTGAGCTGGGGGTAAAGAAGCAATTGAGATTCCTCACACCTCTCCCCACTATCTGAACCCCCAAATGTACCAGCATGTATGTTGTGGTGAATGACACATACACATGCTCAAACGAGTTCAAACCCTCTAACTGGAATCTTCTCAAGGGAGTATTTCCATTGTAAATCACCTAGTGAAATGGAGAGGTAATACTTAATGATTACAATGCAGATTATGGTAAGGTGTGCTGAGTATAGAGCAACAGCAACCTTCACAATAGGGTTGGTTGCTAATGGGATAGTCTAGAACAAGTCACAGGATAATTAGTTTGTCCAGGGTCTTAGTGGTAGGATACTTAAGTTGTTGCCAAACAGCACCCCATTTTAAGTGATTAATAATAGCCTTAGAGGTAGAGAAACTACAATCAAGGGCAACTGAGGATAGGAAAGCAACTAGGAGCACCTTAGGTCCAAAGAGCCTGCAGAAGCGTGAAACCTGCCTGTCATCCCCTTCAGCGCCTCTGCAGGGAAACAACTGTGGGCACGCGGTGCGAGAAGGGGGAGTTACACTGCGGTAGATTTCAATAATCAGGAGAGACATTGCCTGCTAGAGACCCTCGTAAGAAACAACAGGGGAGGCCACCCCGGTGGTGCAGCGGTTGAGCGCTGGGTTGCAAAGCTGCCCGCGGCCTCTGCGGCGCTGGTTCGATCCCCAGCTGCTCCCCAGCCACCGGAGGAGGGTCCCACATGGCGCGCAGACCTCTCCTGCCGCCCGCTGCTCCCCTCAGCAGTGTACTTCGGTCCTTCTGCCTGCTCTGCCTCCCGCTCTGGCTCTGGTGAATTCTCTCACCCTCCCGCGCTTCTGACTGTACCCAGTGCATGTATAAACAAAACAAACAAATAATAATAATAAAAAAAATGCCTCTATTAAAAAAAAAAGAAAGAAACAACAGGGGGCAAAGTTACGCTCCCTTATTTATACAAGTTCCGTCCTTATTCCCCTGGCCTGCTGCTGTGTCAGACATGGCGACAGGACAGGACTCACCAGCAAGCAGTTCTGCTCTTACTCATACCTTCCTATGGCCTTCACCCCACAGAAGATTCTAGCCTTGTTATCGTCACCAGTTCCCAAGCACTGAGGCTGTGGGGGAAGGGCAGTTTAGAATGATGGTGGAAGAAAAGAGGATGATCCTAGAGAACCATAAAAAGGTACAGATTTATAGCCAAGGAAGCTAGTTCCTCCACGTCTTTTACAGACTCCCTCATTAAAAGCTTCCAGGTATGCAGAGAATGTCACAGCTTCAGGACAGGGAAAAAAAACACTCGAGTCAGTTAACCACATCTGGATCCTGGATCAGCTATACTAGGGAGACTGAGGGATAGGAAGGAAAGGTACTCGGATCAGATAAAGAATTACAAGCCTGGATGCCTGTTCTGCCTTAAATGGGCTTATTATTTTAAGACTGAGTTAGCAAAAAAGACACTGGTGTCCTGAAATATTCATTTTCAAAAAGCATGGCATGACTATAATGAGACAGGAAGGAGAGGATTTGATGTGCAGGCTTGGAAGTGAGATTTCTGACCAACATAAGAACAGCTGTGCAATGCGATGAAAAAGTTAGTGAAAATTCCATATTAAGTAGTTGTATCAAAGACTTGGGGAAATGAGTAGGGAGAAGAATCACTATGCGGGCTTCTGGAAAAGAATCCTAGGAGGAAGGCTGAACACCTTCCTGAAAGGTGATACAGGACAAGAAGACAAAGCGTGAAAGACCCAGTGCTCCTCTCAAATATCAGCATCTGTTCTATTCCTTCCTTTACCAATTTATCAAACTACTCTCTCAGGTTCTGTCTTCAGATAGAGAACAGAGAAGAAAAGTTAGATTCAAGATCACAGCCTGGAATAAAGAAATGAGAGGGAGACAGAGAGGCCAGAGGAAAAAAAAGGGAAGGAGTAGCTTAATCAGCTTCCCCTTTTGTGCACTTCTCCAAAGTCTCAGAATGGGACGAAATTCACAGCAAAAAGGCAAATGGCTAAACTTAGGTCGTCCTAAAGCACTTAAACTCAGGTTCCTGTCCACCTCAGCAACCAAAAAGATTATGTGCAAAGTGACTGTTGTTAGGAAGAGACCATTACTTTTCTATTAATCACAGGCAGGTTTTAATAGAAATCAAGCAACAAAGATCTCATCAGGGTACCAAAGTCTTTAGATAAAGTGTTAGGCCCTTAAGTTTTATTACCAAAACAACAAAACGATATTAATAGAGACATCCAGAAATAAAGATTAAAAGGAGAAACCCTATACCAACCACCTAAAAAGCAGGTCTGGGATCTCTGTGAAACTTCAAATGCAAATAAGAGGCCAGCATGGAGACAACCAAACCTTTCTAAAGAGAGGTTTGACAAGGAAAATGGATTTTAGTAATAGCTGAGAAATGCCACCAAAATCACACTACTAGGCTTCTACAACAGAGAACCACAAAGCTGCACAGGGCTTAATTGGAAGTAGAAGCTTCCAGCCACACTGCTTATGTTCCCAGTGATCTAGGTAATAAGACATCCTGTCATGCTTTGAGTCCCTACAATTCTTGCAGTGCTGGGAGGCAGCTTGGTCTGCTCCTTTCCTGAAGCACAACAGGGCCCCACACACTGGCTTCCGCTAAAACCCACAGTATCATACAAGGTCACTCTTAAAAGTAAGAGTACTTCTGGACTACATTTTATCTAAGAAAAAAGTTTCATTAATAGCTCATAACTACTGATCATTATTATTAGCCCTTGTATTTATATCCTTGTATACTTCCACAGAATTCTCCATTTCATGGTCATGCTCAATCATGCAGCAAAGCAAAGTTTCAGGGTGAAACCTCGCCTCTTCATGGAGGACAAAGAGTTTTGTAAAAGGATGCTGGTGAGTGTGAGAGAAGGGAATAAACAGGCTTAAGGGGATAGACTCCGTCCTTTTCTTTCTCCTCTTTTCCGAAGGATAAAGGAATTATGGCTAATTCCCTATAATACTTGTCCCTGAAGTTCCTTCCCTTCATCTGGCCTAATCTGGCTCTAAGAGCTCAAAGGAGTACCTAATAAGACACATTGTTCTCTTTTCTATTTTTTTATTAACAAGCAAAATAATAATATTAATTAAAAAAAAAAAAAACAACTAGTAACACAACAACCTTAAAGTTGAAACAGCAATAAGTCAAATTGCTGCTGGAGTTCACAGATGTACCTGGGGTACATGCTCCCTCACTGCAAGGCAGGACCTAGGCGCATGACTGTGCATTTAGGTATAATATATATACACACATATGACCAAGAATCAGAGAGCTGGAAACGACTGGAAAATAGAGCATCAAAAGCTTTGTATCAGGCAATCCCAAAACGCTCTGCTCTTTTCCTCTTCTTTGCCTGTAACAAGGAAGCAAGAAGAAAAAAATTAGATCACAAAGCAACAGTAGCCTGGGCTCCTGGCTGCTTGAATCAAACTCACATGGACTATCACTTGGCCCGAGAAGGGAAGACCGAAACCTAATCTCGGCAGTCAAGAGGTTTCATTCCTGAATCTGTCTAGTGACCCCGTTAAGGCGGAGGAGGCTTGGTGGGAAAAGAGGGTAAGGAGAGGAAAAGACCGGGGAAGGTGGGTAGAGAGGAGAGCAGTGGTAAAAATGGAAAGATCCCTGAAGGGTCACTCAGTCTTACAGCAAGTTAGCCTCAAACGATGACCTCTTAACAGGCTGGAGAATGTCTTCCAGTCACTGGGGACAAGGAAGGTTACGGAAGACAAAGGGAGGACAAAGGTTGGTCAATTTGTAGAGAAGGTGAGGGGATGCCCTCCTGGGCAGTCAAGCCCAACCAGCAACTCTTTCTGATGCCTCCAAATGCACAGAGAGGTCTACACATCTTCAGTGCCAGCAGAGTAAATGGAGGGTACCCACCATGGATCTCTTAAGGGAGGCAGCACCGGCGAGCACAAATGAGGGAGGCCTGCCTGCAGGGGGAGGCACCTTTCTGTTCTGGGAGCAGTTCACACACGGCACTGAATCCATCCTCACTCCAACCATTTCCCCCAACAAAGAGGGGACTTTTTAAAATTCCATATAGACAGGTGGTTTAATTCAGATTAAAAGGAAAAGCTGAGTGCCTATCAGCCCAGACTATGCTACCAGGACTACTGATAAAATGTTTTGGCATCAAATGAAAGTCATCTGGTTAATGCAAAATCCATCTGTCTCAGAAGTTAACTACTCCCTTATATACATTGACTCAGCCAACAAAAGCCACTATTCCTTGCCACAAAGCAAAATAAATCCCCACCTGCTGTATCCTGGAGAGGCCAAAGCACCACTTTAGCAAGTATGTCTGGTTTAATAATAGCATCCTTAAAAAAGGAGAAATAATCCTAACTAGAATTAAAAAGAAGCCTAAGTTTACTTCTAGTTTATCCTAACTAGAATTAAAAAGAGAGCCTTATCTTAGGGAGTCAGTTTAAGTCAGTAAGTAAGAAGACTGACAACAGGTAATGCTTTGTTCTGAATTAGTAGCATAAAGAATACAAACTCTTAGTTTTTTCCTAGTGGAAAGAATAAACTGGATTCTGATACTTATTCATAAAGAGACTAAGATTTTGAGGCCATTTCCAGAAATAGATGGAAAGTAGTTAACGCTTTAAATGTATAAAAGAACATTTCAAATTCTTCACCATGCAGGAAGTTTCTATATTCATTATTTCAAGTGTTCACGCACACCTCAGGTGACACCCGATCTCTATTAGAGAGACTCTCAAGTCAGCAAATCAGTATTTGTCAAGGCTCTGAGCAGTCTGCCAATGCTCAGCCTCAGAGAGTAAGATTTACTCCAGGGAAAGCTGGGGTACAGATTAACACAAATCTTGCTGGGGGTGATGGGAGACGCTTTCATTTTGAGAAGCTAGTTGTAAATAAAATGGTAACAACAGTCTTATTTGAGTCCACTGTCCTAATCCAGAGGGGAGGTAGGCTAGATTAGTCAGGGCTTGCATGAAGCGATCAAAGAAATATGCATGGCATGTAACAATCACAGATATTACTACTTAACAAGTACAGTATTAAAGGCACCATGTCAAGCATTTTACAAAGAGTTGTTTCTTTTTACCGAGAATCATTTCATTTCATGCTTCTTCAAAGTATTAATTCCACTTTCCAGATAATGAAGCTGAAGGCTCAGAAAAGCATAACTTGCGGGCCTCCCTGGTGGTGCAGGGGGTTGGAACGCAACCTATGAAGCTGTCCACAACCTCTGCAGCACGAGTTCAATCCCCAGCCAGCCAGGGAGCAACCCACATAGCGCAGCAGACCTCTCCTGACTCGCCCGCTGCTCCCCTTAGCAGTGTACTTCGGTCAGGCTGCCAGTTCTGTTCCCCGCTCTGTCTTTGTGGGTAATACCCACAGAATCCTCTCACCCCCTCACCCCGCACCTCTGGCCTGTGCCCCAGCTCTTGTATGCATAAATAAATAATCTTAAAAAAAAAAAAAAAAAAAAGCAAAGCATAACTTGTAATTGATACCAAGTGGCAGAGCCACTTTTCAATCCAAGGCTATCTGAGTCCAAATCTTACACTCTTTTTTTTTTGTACTTTCTCTTTATTCAATTCTTTTATATAATTTTTTTAATTTTTATATTCCCCATACAATTGTGACCCCCTTATTTTGACCCCAATCCTTCCCCTCCCCACCCCCCCCACCCCATAGAGTGTCTCTGTTCATAGTTGTTTGTTGATTTTGATTTTTACTTTCTTATAGTTCTTCTTTTTCCTGGTCCCTTATGTAAGTTTTCTAGATTCCTGCTATGAGTGAGACCATCCGGTATTTTCCTTTTTCTTTCTGGCTTATTTCTCTGAGCATGATCCCTTCCAGCGCCATCCATGTTGCTGCAAATTCTTGCACTCTTTCTTACTAGGATAACTAGCTCTAACACTGAATGAAGTATATTGATCAAATTCAGTGAGGATGACATACTGTCACCCTGGCACTTAAGAAGCAAGCCAAGGAAATATCAGCCGTTTCTCCAAATCAGTTTGTTTATCCTCATTTCTCTCCAAAAGTTCCTGAAGCAGGGCTCCCTGGGGGCCTAAGGGTCAAGTCTCAGCACTGCCACTGCGACTGCCTGAGTTCGATCCCCAGTTAGCCAGGGATCTGACCCACGTGACTCAACAAACCTCTCCTGTCTCCCCTCTGCTCCCCTCGCAGTGTATTTCAGTAGATCTGCCTGTTCTCCTCCCCACTCTGTCTCTGGTGAATCCTCTTACCCCCTGCACCTCTGGGCTACACCCCAGTTCTTCTACGCAAAAATAAATTTAAAAATCTTTAAAAAAAAGTTTTATGAAGCATTTAGGCATATTTTACCTCTGTATCCTCTGTGGTTCCTGTTCCGGCTGAACTTGTGACAATCCCAAACCGCTCCTTCCTCTTTTTCAGCTTCTCATCATCTTCAGACTATTCAGGGACAAAGAAAAGGGTTGAAACAAGCTATAGTCTCTGTTCACAAGGTAAATGGGAGTGAAGTTTTAACTTATGGTCATAATATTCCAGTCAACCTTGTGCCAAGAACTCAGGATCATACAGATAAAACAGACAGAAAACTGAGTAGCTAGCATATATAGTACTCATTATCTCTGAATAACTAAAAACTTAATTTTAATAGGAACTCAATATTCACAAGACAAGTAGAGTGGAAAAAAAGCAAGAAATATCCATAAAACACATTTGTGCTGAAGAAATTCGTGTAGTTCACACAGATATGGAAAACTGAGTAATACCCACAGAAAGCAAGGTGGTAGAATGCACCTATTTTCTTTTTAAAGATTTATTTATTTATGCATACAAGAGCTGGGGTACAGGCCAGAGATGCGGGGGTGGGGGAGGGTGAGAGGATTCACCAGAGACAGAGCGGGGAACAGAACAGGCAGACTGACTGAAATACACTGCTGAGGGGAGCAGCGGGAGAGTCCGGAGAGGTCCGCTTTGCCACGTGGGTTGTTCCCTGGCAGCGGGGGGATTGAACTTGTGCTGCAGATTGCTTCATAGTGTAGTGCTTAACCCCTTGCGCCACCAGGGAGGCCCCTATTCTTGTTTTTAATAATCATTAAATAGGGGCCTCCCTGATGGCACAAGAGGTTAAGTCTCAGCACCATGAAGCGATCGATCGGCAGCCACTACAGCATGACTTCAATCCCCAGCCAGGGAGCTGACCTACATGGTGCAGCAGACCTCTCCTGTCTTGCCTGCTGTTTTCCTCAGCAATATATTTCAGTACATTTGCCTGTTCTGCTCCCCACTGTCTGGTGTGCACATGCACACACATGCGTGCGCGCGCACACACCCCTACACCTTCCCTGCTCCTCTGGCCTACACTCTAGCTCTTGTGTATATATAAATAAATAAAATAAATCTTAAGGGCTTCCCTGGTGACGCAGGGGTTAAAGACAGTGCTATCAAGCTATGACCAGCCACTGCAGCGAAAGTTCGCTCCCCAGCCAGGGAGCTGACCCATATGGCACAGCAGACCTCTCCTGTCTCCCCACTGCTTCCCTCAGCAGTTTATTTATTCCAGTAGATCTGCCTGTTCTGCTCCCCATTTTCTCTGGTGAATCCTCTCACCACCCCGCACCTCTGGTCCACACCCCAGTTCTTGTATGCATAAATAAATCTTTAAAATTAAAAAAATAAATATTAAAAAACCCATAAAATAATGGTAATATTACAGCTGCTAACATTTGAGTATTTACTGGGTGCCAGGTATAGTTTGAAGTTCTTTACATGCAATAACTCACTTTCTATAATAATCTTAAGCATAATGGGTACTATGACATACACAGGTTACTATGACAAAATTAACTTCATAGAAAAGAAAACTGAGGCTTAGAAAAATAAAGGAGCTTGTCCAAGTCTCACGAGTAGTAAGCGGAAAAGCCAGGAATAGAACCCAGAGTATTTCACTCAAGAACTTACTTTCCTGACTCCTCGGGTATCTCATATAAGCATTTCTTTGCAAGAATGGTAACAGAACAGAGCCAGTGCCCAATTCCCAATGGAAGAAGACTCACTAGAACCCTTAGCTAATAATAGTTGTTTGCCACCTCTCACTACTTCCACAGCACTCATTTTGGGTCAATGCTATTGCCCCATCCACATACCACATGCCTCTACTGTGTAACCAGCATCTAGGGAAAGGAGTTCACTTGTAATCTTATATTAAAGATTTTCAACTAAATTTGTTTCCAATATCGGCTAACTGGCTATTTCATCTGTTGAACTATATAATAAAATAATTACGGGGATTTTCAATGAACACAGGCCTTACTACATTTTTATTTACGAAAGTCACTTCCATGTAGGTAAAAGTAAGCAAGGGATCTGAAGGAGATTTCAAAATGAGAAACTTTAGAATATTCTAGATAAAACAGCTCCATTTTGCTGGTGCCTCCAGGCCAGGAAGGAAACAATTTCAGAGGGAATAAAAGGAGCACCCCCATGCCCTTCCTGGAGAGAGTCAGGGCATGACAAACTGCACCAATACAACTTTCTTTCATTCAGTTCCATGCTGGGGGTACTCCAGCCAGTTCAGGTCCGACAGGGAGAGGCTGTCTGGGCAGCCCAGCCATTCCACTAGCGCAAGCTCTGGTGGCGCGCCCCTCACAAACCTCACTACAAAGCCCATGTCCATCTGGAATGTGTCAGAGGCTTTCCTCTGGATTAGCATTTTGCTATAGTCTGAAATGAGGAATTTCACTTTGAAATTACATTTCTTGTATCTCCTTTCGAACTAAAGTTGAGTAAAGAACAAGGACTAGGAAAGCCGGGTGGGAACACTTCTCTAACCACTAAGACAAGTATCAGAGATTTCCCCATGAGCTTCCTTTTCTAATCAGATCTTTGATGCCTTTCCTGGAGATCCAGGGGGAGCATCTGCTCCAGATCTACCCGGGGGGCTCTACGGGAAATAACAATACCATTCCCCCCCCCCCAACGAGCAGCCTGCCCACCCCTCACCCACAAAGACCAGTGAGGATTTTATTTATTTTGCGCATGCCTGCCCTTTCCACCCTACCCAGCACCCCTCAGCTCCCCCTCAAAGCCTCCTTCCTCCTTGCCCTGCAGGGAAAGTGCATAACAGGCCCAGTAAATCAACACCGTCCTAATGATCTCCCCTCGGCCCTTCTAGCGTGACTATGCGGCATGGAAAGGAGCGCACAATACACTTCGCTCGTCTTTCGCTGCTTGCTGACAGGTTTTGATTCATGGGATGGGAGACCCATCTGAGGGAAATTACCTCCATCAAACACATCTCTCTGCATCTCTCTCCGCATCTCTCCTGGCTCTCAGCATTCATCAGGCCAGTGCTCCCCCAGGCCATGCTCAAGTGCACAAATGGGGTTGTGCATCTGCAAGCAGCACTGACCCCTCTAGCTCAGTGTCACATGCATTTGCAAACCTTTCCCTTCTTCCTCCCTCCCCCACTTCCCTCCAGCAAACTTTCAACTACTAACCCATCTTTTTTCTTCCTAAGTATGCTCCTGTGTGGGAAGAGCAGTGCTTGAATCTGAAGTGTCCTTACCTCCTATCAAACAAAAACCCTCAAAACATACAACTTGCATCCAAAATCAATCCTCAAAATCCAAAATCCACCATTACTGAGTAACGCAGGCATTGAACACTCCCACCAATCTGTACACTTCACATCCCCCACCTTCGCACTAGGATTTAATAGCAAATCAGCTGACGGCCAGTAATTTCTACACACACAATCCTCTTACCATCCCGTAACTGTCGTGTGGTTTTTTCCAAAAGCTCAGACAAGAGAAAGGGAACTGTGCAAAAGAGAAGATCCACAAAAGCAGCACGGAGCAGAAAGCATGATGCATAGATTTAATAAAGTCAAATACCCTATGAATCATCATCATTGTATTTTCCAAAGTGGAATAAAATAATTCTAAATTGAGCCCTTCAGAAGACATCTTCAATTTTCAAAATTTTCTTTTCTCTTTGTTTCCCTTCCATATTTGGAAAATCCTCAGGCCATGTAAAGAAAACAATTCCTGCTGAGATAGAAACAGACACCCAAGGAAGCCCTGAGATGCAAATTACACGTGTGAAAGCGGGCAGGGGCAGTGCACAGAATTATCATACAGGTATTTACAAAGTGTTAGCTATTATTTTTATTGCACATTCCTTCTTGTCCTTGAAACAAAATCTGAGATTATCAATAAAATTTTGAAAATAACAATTAATTCTTTCTACATCAAAAGTAAAATAATCAAAAGTAGGTAACAAACCCACAACCAAAGCAACAAGGAAACTCCCTTAGCTGCAAAGGAATGTGAACACCGACACCTGGACAGATGACTACACTTAGAGTTAAAGTGTGGCAGAATCAAAACCATAGTCTTCCCCGCCTGTACTATTAAGCCATCTTTCTCTTTTCATGACCCTAACATAAATCTATGCTGCCAGACTTCACTAATTCATCACCCCTAATAATTAATAACTGTCTCAAAACTGCTCCGCGATTCTTATATGGGTCTTCTCTTTTGAACAGTTCCCTTCCTCTTGTTGAGAGTAAGCTTTAAAAAAAAACACAACAATTAGGGGAAGATAAGAGGATTGTGCGTGTAGAAATTACTGGCCGTCAGCTGACTTGCTACTTAAATCTTACTAAATAACAACATCTATCTAAGATACATTCAAGGGAACTGAGCCAGGCTCCAACCTCTCACTCAGCAGGCCTAATCCCAGGTATTCTTAAGGCCCCAGAGGAACTGTATTCACTGAATTACTCTACACCAACTTCGCTCAACATTTTCAATGACACTGAAACCCTTAAAATCAATTCATTCATCCACTAGTCATTCAAATATCCACTGAGTTTCTACTTTGGGTCATGCACTGTTCTGACAATGGGAACAGAAAAATGAGTAAGACAATGATCCATAATCTCACGGGGCTTATAAATTCATAATTGAGCTACTGTAATGATGCATGTCAATGTTCTTTACATTACTGCATTATGAGGACCCATGGGAAATTTTTCTTTTTGGCTCAACCCCAAATTATGCTTTTTCTGAGCAAGCTGTTAAGTTTTCTACCTCACTACAAAAACAGAACAAATATATTTTCTTCTTTTTACTCACTGCTATAAAGTCTGGAGCCAAATATATGGCCTACCCCTGGCAAGTGGTTTTGCAAATATTTCTATTAGAAAGGAGAGGCCAGAAGTATTGTGGTAAGAAATACGAGCTCCAGGGGGCCTCACTGGTGGCGCAGGGGTTAAAGACACAGCACCATCAAGCTGTCGCCAGCCACAGCAGCACAAGTTCGATCCTGGCTGGCCAGAGAGGTGACTCACATGGAGCAGCAGACCTCTCCTGTCTTGCCCGCTGCTCCCCTCAGCAGTGTATTTCAGTCAGTCTGCCTGTTCTGCTCCCCACTCTGACTCT